AAAGTGCTTGATGTACATGTTTCTTTGCATCTTCACACTGCTGTGAATTAAGTAGTACAGGTATTTTTATCCCCATTTTACAGATAAGGAAACAGAGGCCAAGAGGACTTAAGTAAGTGATCTGCTCAAGATTGTACCAATGTTAAATGTCAGGACAGGGACTAAAATCCAGGGCTTTATCCACTGAGCAGCTCGCTGTCCCCAATTTCAGTTTAATCCAATTCACCAAATTGCACATTATTGCACAGTTCTTACGTACAGTGTGCTGGGCCAGAAATATTTACACAAAGGAGATAATTTCCAAGAGATCCAAATTGTAGATTTAAAGTTGGCAGAGAACCTAGAGACCATCTGGTCCAATTCCCTTATTATACAGATGAGGAAACTGAGGCCCGAGAATTTAAATGATTTGACCAAGGTCACACAGGTAGTAAGTAGTAAGTGGCAGAAGCAGAATCTGAACCCAAGTCTCTAACTCCAAATCTAGCGCTCTTTCCATTTACAAAAATCTCTGTGAAACCCAGTTTTTGAGGAAAATGTGTGTTATAGAGAGCAAGGTATACCAGAAAGTGAGAGAAGGCTATTTTGAGGTTGACAATGTGTGGGTACATTGAAATACATTCCTTTTTTAGGAGGAACAAGCATTAAACATGCTTATTAAACACATTCATTCCCTCACACCCTTCCTTGACATCTCAGAGTTAAGAATGGACATCCCTGAGCAGGGAAAGGCTGTGCAGGAGCTGGGAATGAGCATCAATGGAGGTTTTAACAATTTGTCTAATTGAATTAAATTGCTCATTTTATGTATCAAAGTAACAATTAAAAGAAAGAGAAAGTAAGCATTATGAAAGAGCTAGTCCCTGCTCTTGAGGAGTCTCCAATCTAAGAGGAGAATTGGGGGATGGAGGGGGAGGAGAACCAGCGTGAAGACTAGAAAGACACTAAGTTCTATACCCCACTATATGGGAAAGAACCCTAGATTGGGAATTCAGGAATGGTTCTGGTCCTTGCTCTGACACTGACTGACCATTTTACCTTGAGTGTATCAACGTATCTCTTGGTACCTCCCTTTAGTTCTCCCATCTGTAAAATGGTGATAACAAAACCTACCCTGTGCACTTCGAAGAGTTGTTGTCAGTTATTACAGTATTTACTTTTTAAATTCAAGAGCATAAAAATCAACTTTGCTCTGAAATTTGATTAAGAATGTCCACAAGCACTATGATCAGAATTATAGCAGGTCATTGCCAAAAGAGGGTTGGAAGTTCCAGGACTACACAAAGAGTAACAGTGACACATAAGCTGATACAAATATACATATAATATGAAGTCTATAACTAAGTGACCACACATGCATTGCCTCTGACATAAATCAGCTCTCTTTGAGAGTTGTATGAGACATCTGTCTCTAAGGGAGAGGGAAGGTCAGCCCAAGAGGCTCCCAAGATGCAGCAGTGATCAACAACAAAACCCAAGAAAAGTCACTGAGACGAAAGTTCATGTCTTAATTGACAAGAGGATGAAGCAGACTTCACATGAGGATAGACTAAATTGATTAGGGGACTCCAGTCTGGAAGATGAAAACTGAGAAGAGATAGGACCCAAATCTATAAACTTATAAAGGACACTGGGCAAGGCAGAGTAATCCTGAATAGGTTTGTTCACAAACTCCCAAATATTAAAACTTAAGAAGTCCCTTGGAGCTTACATGAGGTAATTTTGGGACAAATAAAAGGAAAAACTATTTGCCACAACAAAGATAAATCTATAAAATTCATTACCAACCCTATTCTCACCCTTCATGAACATATGAGTACACACACATACAATAATAAAAGCTAAAAGGTTCTGGGACTTCCTCATTTTATAAATGAGGAAAGTGAGGTCCAGAGATAGAATATTACTTATCCTGAGTCACACAAGTAGTAAGTGGCAGCGAGAGGACTCAAAAATAGTTCTTTCAAATCCAGTGCACTTTGAGAATAGTCACACAGATCTATTAAGTTAGATTTATCTGGATCTGTAATCGATCACCCACAGTTTCCTCTGTCAGATCAGAATCAGATTTCTGGGCTAGATGGGTTATAAATCTAATACAGGGTGAAATTTCTTGTGTTATTACTTGAGAAATTAGAAAATGTGTCCTTTCAAAATCCTTGAGCTAGAGACCTTAGAGATAATTATGCCCCCCTTCGTTTTATAGATGGGGAAATTTAGGTCCAAAGAAGGAAATGAGTAACGGGTCACATAGCTAGTATTCCTGTCTCATGGTTAGTAGTAAAGCCAAAAACTCCATTATCTTGATTCTCAATTCCTTGGTCTTTCTATGGAAAGTATGTTAGCAGGGATTCAGTGAAAAACTTCTAAGGCAACTCATCTTAAGTCTACCGGGTAACATCATCTATTAGAATTTACATGTACCTTCAGCTGAAAGGAAGAAATTTTCCCCAGACAGGCCAAAGGCCTCTGGCAACTTCTTTGGAGTGATGTTGACTTCCCTTCTAAGAACTTGGCAATGGTGATTCAGTATCAAGAAACCACCTAACCAATTCAGTCCAATCCAACAAGGGGTCATTAATATCCTTCAGATGCAAGGATTGCACTGTGCTAGAACTTAAGGATGGGGAGATAAATGGAAAAAACAAAACAAAACAACCAGCTGGGACCTGCCCTCAAAATGCTTACATTCTACTGGACTTTTGTGAATTTATTCAACAAACACTTATGAAATACCTGCTGTGCAGAGAATAGGTGACCATAAGCTAGAATGATCACGTCAAGAAAGGGCATTCAGTGTTGAAGATGGAGAAAAAGAAGGCCCTACATTTGCAGAGTTATTGAGTGCAACTCGAAGGAGCCTAGTGTGTTCCTGCTCTCTGGTTTTCTCAGAGTTTACAACCTTTTTTCACTTAGCAGATAATGGGAACAGGTGTACTTCTGGCTCCCAAATTCAGTTATATGGGCCGGGACTAGTTAGGGGGTTCAAATGTGTGGTCTCCTGAAGAGAGCAGCTGTGGGTGGGGTTCTTGGGGGGAGGCGGAGCGGGGTGAAGACTGAAAACAAGGTCAGGAATGGGCCTGGAGGAAGTGACTCCTATTCCCCCTCCTCGGGAACTCCCTCTAGTGCAGCTTGGGCTCAGGGAGCTAAAAGGAGGAAGGGGGGGTTAAGAGGAAGGAAGGAACCAGCTTGAACTCGCAACCCTCCCGGAAATCTCCCAACCTTGAGTCAACTAGTTTATCTCCACATTGTCCTTGCCATCCTCCTTCTCTTTCGCGACCCCTCCTCTCCTCGCTTTTCCTTCTCCCTCCCTTCCGTCTTCTCCTCCCTCCTGGCCTCCCTACTTCTCCTGAGCCGCCTCCTCCTCCTCCTCCTCCTCCTCCTCCCATCTCCCACGGTCATAGCTCCCTCTCTCCAACAGAGGCACCTGCTCCGTGCTCACTTCTCGTTGATCCACTGCGGACTTCTGGTGCCCGTTCCACTCTTGGGAACCTGGTCTTCCCTTCTGGTTCCCACCGCCAACCGCCCCCTGCGTCTGGGCGCACCAGCATACCCCCAAGGTCCCAGCGCCTCCTCCGCCCCTCCCCTCCCCCATCTCCTAGCTGTCTTTTTCTAACTGGTCTCCTGTTCTCCTAGCCATGGACTGGGGCTTGATCGCTGCTTGGGTCAGCCTGCTTAAGAAACCGAGGTAAGAAGTTGGGAGCTGGGAAGCTGGGGGAAGAGGGAAGGGAGGGGCTGCGGAAGAAAGAGGGACGCTTCCCCCCAGACGTCACCCAGGAATGTCCCGAGGGTGCTGGGGAGAATTTTAAGGCAATTTGGAACGAGGTGTTGGAAAGAAAGTGCCCACCCTGTGGGAAGTGGTCTGCACGACCAAGCGGGTGAGGGCGCGGCGCTGCGGGGCGCTTTTGGCGCAATGTGTTAATGGGGTGGGGGAGGTCTAGATCAGGGATGAGGCCCCCAAAAATGAAGCACAAGGCAGGACATCCTCTGGGATGCAAGGGGCGGTCCATTTTTGCGCTGGAGATCTGGAGGAACTGTGCTGGCTAGGGGGAGGGAGGGAAGAAGACCTTGGGGTGGGGGGGGTATGTGAAAATCTCGCTCTGGTGGATCTAACCCCAGGCGCGGGGTGTGAAGGGATACTAGAGCCCCAACAGTGACCACTTTCTCTCCCTCTCCTTCGGCTTCTCCGGACCCGCTATCACCAAAAACGCGTTACGCTTGGACGTCAGATTTCCGTTCTGAGGCTGAGCAGTGTTTGCTGGCGGAGTCACGAAAGAGGCTGGGGGGAGGGGGGCGGCGGCGGGCAGAAAAAGCGAGAGGCGAAAAAGAAAAAGGAGAGGAAGAGAAGGCGAAGAGCCCGACTCTTGAGTGGCACTCTAGTGCCTGTGTTTCTCAGCGCCTACTGCGGGGTAGCCCAGCGGCCAGAGTTCATAAAGCTGAGCCCGAGACCCCAGCGCTGCTGCCGACTCACCCCGCCTCCTCCCGGCTAGCCCGAGCCGAGAGGCTTTGGGGGATGGGTCCTGGCGCGGTGCCCGGGACCCCTGCCTCGCTGGCGGATACTGAATCGCGGATCTTCCGGAGCCGAGTGAAACCCGTTTCCCCATCCGACTAACTCGCTTTGGGGATCGAGCTACAGAAACAGACAGAAGGGCAGACAGGCGTGCGGACAGACGGACCGGCACTGGCAGCGCACCGGCGCGCACACACACCCTCGGGCTACCGGCGCCTCCCATCCTGTGGAATTTATCCTTCCTCCCATCCTAGCGCACCAGCCCCTCCCCCGTGCTTCGCCCTCTCTCCCGCTCTCCCGAAAATAAAACAGAAGGGGTTGATTGGTGGCTTTGGGTGGCGGCGGGGAGGGAAGGACGAGTCTCCTTCGCCCAAACTGGACCAGGGTCCGAGCCGGTCGGGGGGCCATGGATTTGGAGATGTCCTAGCCGCTCCCGGCGCCCACATCCGCTTGTCCCCTCGGCCCGCTCTCCAAACTCTCCCCACGTGAAATGGAACAGCGGGGACCGATCAGCGCCCTCCGATACCTGCTGCTGCATGCCCCGCTGCTCCTCATAGCCAACGGTGAGTCCCAAACTTTCCCTGATTCGGCCGTGGGGGGGGGGCACAGGAGATGGGGAATGGATGGGCAATTTTAAAGATCTCCCCACCCACCCCTTTCAGAAAGCAAAGATATGGGAGAAATGTGCCCGGGCGCACGAGCCTAGAGAACCCTGTTCAGGGCCTGAGTATTGGGGTGTGAATAGCAACCTGACACTGCGAAGGGACGGAGCAGTTCATAAGGCAGCTTTTATATCCCTATATAAAAATAGTGCAAGCGCCGATGGGCTCCATCAACCAATATCTGTCTTCACAGCCGCTCAATCCCTTCAGCTCCCGTTGGTGCTGAGAACAGAATCCAGAAGCTGAGGGTGCCCCGCGCCTTACAGGCTGCCAGGCTCTGTGCGAACAGAGGAAGAGATTTCAGTTCTTGGGGAAGATTGGGGAGGGGTCTGGCGCAGAGTGTGAGGGGCTATAAGGGATTTTCTGCTGCTGCTTTGGGGCTGGTGAGTGAGGTGAAACTGGGGTGGGGGGGGCGGAACGCAGTTGCGGATAAGGGCAGTAGAGCCTTGCAGAGGAAAGGGGGGGGCAGACATGCCTCCAGTCAAACCTCCAACGGATGCCAACGACCCAAGATGCCTCCCCACCCAATTCTGGCCCCCTCCACAGCTTGCCAGATCCTACAAAAGAATAAACGTGGACTGTGGCCACGTTTACCTACAAGTGCTCTTTTCTCTAGAGATGCATGACTAAACTTTGCTCCCGGATTCCTTACCCAGAATGGTACTGTAATAGGAGTCCAGGGCTAAACTGTAAGAGGGAACCCTGATTTCTTTACCTTCTCTTCTCCCAAAGCTAGCCACCTGAACCTGCGCCCGACTTCTCCGAGTATCTTCCGGGAAATGATTAGTTTTGGCCACTGCCGAGATGGGCTGTTTGGTTTCATCTCGCCCTTTATCCAGTTCGAACCCAAATTTCTCAACGGGCCTCAGCTCAGCCAACCCCAATCTGTCACTTCTGTCTTTTCCCTCCCAGCTACATTCACCGAAGTCCCCAAAGATGTGACTGTTAGGGAGGGGAGAAGATATTGAGATGCCCTGTGCTTTCCGGGCGAGTGGATCAACCTCCTACTCACTGGAGATCCAGTGGTGGTATCTTAAAGACCCGCCCCGGGAGCTGGCCCACGAATTAGCGCTCAGTGCCCCTGGCAGCAGAAACAAGGTAAAAGAATTAAGTCCTTTCCACAACCCCTGCGGGGAAAGGGGTGGGGAAAGTAGAAGGGAGGGGGGAGAGGACAGATTTACCCTTCACCGGCTGCTACAAAATCCAACAAAGGCGAGAGTAAAATCCCCACTTCTTGTTGTGTGCTGTGTATTGAGAAGCGATGGATACTGTCAGCCGGCCAGTGTGGGATGAGGGAGTCATTTGATGGTAGGAAAGTCGTAACCATCTCCTCCACCCTCCCTGACTTCTTTCCACCACTTCATCCTCCACTGCACTCTCCACCCCCACCCCCACCCCTAAAAAGCTTCCTAAGAACAGTATTCAGTCCTTTTCTCCAGCGAATACTAAGTGCAGAGGCCCTGCCCTGCATGGTTGCTGCATTTGGGAATGAACCTGAAGCGTCTCTGTTATGGGTTTCTGAGGATCAAAGATAATGATAAGGATGACAGCATGTATGTAGAAGCTTTAACGTGTGCAAAACATGTTACATTATTATCACATTTGATCAATTAAAGAATACAGAATCTGCCTAGCTCTGATTCCAACCAAGGAGAGGAGCATCAAACTGGAGCAATCCTAAGCTGAACCCCTCCCAGAACCAGAATTTTAAGAATCAGAGGTAGGGCCCACCCTTAAGGCTGAAATCAATCTACCTGCAAAAATGACCAATCTTTTCCCCTACTCACCTTCCACCAGAAGAGACCCACTAAGGCCTTCCACTGGCACCTATAATGCCCCTTTCCCCAACCTGGTTTTTTTCCAACCTTCCTGGACTGACTGGAGTCCAGTCCCCTTTGCTCTGAGACCCTTGTTGTCACCAGTATTGTGGGAATGCTCAACATTCTCCCCAGATATAAGAACCCCCATCCAGCTGATAATCCTTTAATCAGGGACTCTCACCAGTCTACTGGGGGTGGAGAGACAGAAGAAAAATATACAGGTGATCCATCACCAAGTTGCAATTGAGAGTAGACCCAAAGGTAGTTTGTAGTGGCAACCCCCTCCAGTTCCTACTGTAGGGATACATCTATTTCCCTTAAGCCTGCTGATTCAGTTTTTTTTTGTGTACAAACCTGAGGCATGAGCTGAATGTCCCCTCTTCCTTTTTCCCCACCCCGAAGCCCTAAGGCTGCTCTGCAGCAGTGTTGTTTGAGTTTCTCCTCCGTCCCCCACCAGCTAGGGTAGCAACTCCCAGTGGATTCCTGCTTGCAAGGGTAGGGACATAGGTACCCTGAAGTCCCATCTACTCTTAGGAATATGCTATACTGCCCTACCATGCAGAAGTCCCTATCTACAATCAGCATACACAATAATTAGATCCTGCCTCAGGTCCCCCAAATCTGAAGTTTTGGAAATTGCTCTGAAGGGAGTGTAACAGCTGGGATGAGGATCTCCTTTAATCTGAGAGATGCTGTTCTAAAAACTGGAAGATTGTAGCCTAACATCTCTCCCTCTTTGCATTTTAGGTAACAAATAAGGATGCAACCAAAATCAGCGTAAGTGTAGAGCAACAGCTATGGTGTGTGGGGGACCCCTCTTGGTGGATTTTCTTCCCACAGCTAACATCCTTTCACCTTAGCCTATTTCACCTAATAGAGCAACTGCTTTCATGCAACTCTTGTAATTTTGCATTTTTCTGCTGCTTCCAAGTGTCAAGGTTCCATCTGCTATTATTTGTTCAGTCAAGTTTCATTTCTTGTAAATCAAGAGAACATGGCATTTGTCTCCACTCCCTGATTTGCTCTCACCTGTAAAAACACTCCATCCCAGATCATGTGCTAAATGCTATTCATTTTGCTAGCCCACTTCTTGGCCTTTATTTTCTCCCAGCAAATGTTAAATCCCTACTATTTGCAACCACTTGTGTACTCAGATCATTTTCCCACAATATCCCCTATCAGTTCTCAGAATTGTCCTTCCTTATGCTGCTGAACAGCTTTTCACCACATCACCTTAGTGTGTCTGTAGCAGACAATACAATTTGATAGTTTTATATTTGGCCAATTTTTGAAGAAAGACATGGGATTGAGGGAGGTTATGGATCTGGAATATATTGTTGCAGGGGGAGGAAGGATGGGAGTTAGAAATGGAATTGTAGAGGTGTAATTGTATTGTTTGGAGGTAGTATCATTCATTGAGTGAAGGGGGCAGAACATTTCCTTCTGAAGGCTAGAGGAGAGGAATGGTTTGCTTTGTTGGGGGAATACGGAAATTTGGAAAAACAGATTATTTGTGAGTATTAGAATGTTGGGGGGCACACTAGCTATAATCTGATTTCTCCTTGGGGATTGTGGAGTATTATCAGGAAACCTTTGAAGTCTTGAGAAGAAACAGTTGCAGTTCTCCTTAGGAGGGAGTTGAGATCATTTTTCTGTGGAACTATATCGAAGAGGAGAAAGGGCCTAGGATCAGACAATCTTGAATTTAGAAAGAGCATTAACTAGTGATAAGGTGAGGGAACAGATATGCAATTTAACCCATGAAAATACACCAGGAAAACTGCAGCCTTTTCTGGAAATGCAATGGAAGGCCAATGTGAACAGAGGGGGAGAGGGGCTATTATAAGAAGAGTGGAGCGACTGATTGCAGTAGACACAGAGAAGTTAATGAATAGTGGACTGATTTTATTCTATGGGCTGGCTGATGTGAGAGTGAAGTAATGCAAGAAGACGAAGCAAGAGAGGATCTGCAGGATGCTAACGGGAGAGGGAAATGGCAAAGAAAGGAGTAGATATAAAAGAAATATTCAGAAGGGCGGGGAGAATAATACGAAGGGGAGACTTGCAGGGGCCGGGTGATAGAAAGACTAACTACAGAAGATGTTGCCCAGGGGCTGTGCAGTAGGGGAGCTATCAGGGCACCAATGAAGGGAAGGCGCACCGTAGAGCTGATGCAAATAGGAGATGCCTGGACAAGTGCAAGAGGCCTTCGCGAGGGAGGTTGGATGGGGATCAGTGTAGGCGGTGGGGGATGGGAGAGAGGCAGGAAGCTAGAGCACGGAGTGGGTGCAGGGGGCTGGTTGGAGGGGGATGGATACGGTTCGGGTCCTGAAGAAAACCCAGTGCGGGGGTGACTGGGTGGGGTCTGGAGGGAGGGGTTGGGGCTAGTCTTGTGCCAGCTCCCAGAGGTGGCCCATGGGGGTCGCGGGATCCAGGGGTGAGGAGGCGGCCGCTAACCCTGAGCCCGCGTGTCGCCTCTCTTGCAGACGGTGCGGGTCCAGGGCAATGACATCTCGCACCGGCTGCGGCTGTCGGCCGTGCGGCGGCAGGACGAAGGCGTGTACGAATGCCGGGTGTCGGACTACAGCGACGACGAGACGCAGGAGCACAAGGCCCAGGCGCTGCTGCGGGTGCTGTCGCGCTTCGCGCCGCCGGACATGCAGGCCGCCGAGGCCGTGTCTCACATCCAGAGCAGCGGCCCGCGCCGCCACGGGGCCGCCGGCCGGGCCACTTCCGAGCCTGGCCGCGACAAGAGGCCGCCGGGGGCAGCCGGAGCCGGGGCCGCCAACGCCGCCGCCGCCCCAGCAGCAGACGCCGCCGCGGGCGCCGGGAGCGGGGCTGCCGCGGCCTCTGCAGCCAATGCCGCAGCCACCACCGCAGCTGCAGCCGCCGCCGCGGCCACCGCCGCCTCCTCGGCCTCGCCTCCGCCGGGCAGGGCGGTCATCCTCCGCCAGAGGCATGGCTCGGGTGAGTCAGCCCGACCCCCCAGCCGGGCGCGGGGGCGCACGAGCACGGTCACGGTCATTCAGCCGACTCTAGCTCAGTTGCCGGGGCTGTCAGTTACAGAGCGCGAAGGCGCCTGCGCGGGGGTGGGAGGCAGAGTGGGAAGGGGCCGAGGGGGCGGGACGCGTGCGTAGAACCCTAGCCAACGCCGAGCCCGAGGGTGCGGAGCCACCCGCTTGCAACACCGGCAGCCTTGTCAGCGCAGACGCCTCTAGGGTTGCTACGTGTACCCCTAGATCTGTGGGGGGATTAACGTCTCCACACTGCATTCACACTCTCTGCCCCATGCTTATTCGAAAATGCTTTTATTCTCGTGTCCACGCGTAGGTTTTTACTTACACCCACATTTCCACGCCTTCATCTGCTTTTCTTTGTATATCTTTACCTCCCTTTTCCATGTTCCTTTTCTATCCAACGTACTTTCTGTCCTTTTCTTACCGTCCTCTGCTCTTTTCTGATTGACCTCCTCCCTCCCTTTGGATGGTTTTGCAATTTATATTCTTCCTGGTTTTATGTTCTGGTGGTCAGTTAGGACCCTTCCTTCCTCCGGACAAGCCCTCTGCTCCTGGTTCCTGCTCCTTTGGGGACTGGGAAAGGCGAGGAGAGGGACTGAGAGAACGGGTAATTCAGTATTGTTCTTTAGTCGGGGTATTTGGAACTGGCCTGGAAGGGGATTGCTTTCCTGTCTGGGTGTTTGGCCTACATCTCCAGGATTCCCTGGCGGCGTTCTGTCGGGGGCTTTGCTGCTGTAAACCTAAGATGATAAGGTCAGAAGAGAGTCATATTAAGGACAAGAGATCTTTGGCACCCAGAGGTGGGAACGTTGCTCTGTGCTCAGGAACTATATTATGCAGGCCCGGAAGAGAGGGGTCGGTTTGCTAAAAACAGACTTTCAAGTTCGGGCCACTACATAGACTAACCTTCCCCCCACACACACTCAAATCCTACTTCCTTTACAATCTGCCAGTTCTACAATTCTGACACTAACCCATTCCTCCCCTATGGGTTTGCACATTAGTGAGATGAAGCAGGGTTGTTTTATTAGTACTTCTTGAGATTATTGGGTTCATTATTATTCAACAGAGAGGCCAGTCTCTGCAGACAAGGAATTTGGTGCTACTGGTTAGGGACAACTAGCCCTTTCCTGCCTGGGCCTGAATTTCAGTCTTCCTTCTACCCCTTAATTATAAATCTCTGGTTGATCTAACAGTAGTACTGCTCAGATTCCCTGACATTCATTGGATCAGAGCCCTTTGAGTTGAAGCTTTAGCTCCTTTGTGGGGGCAGATAGGAAATGCAAGGTTCTCCAAAATATTCCTCACCCGCCACCTGCTGACCTGGAGAGAAAGGTCTTTTTCAGAATTCCTTGGGATGAAAAAGCCCCAGCTCTACAGCTCACAACCTTTGTGACATTGGAAAAGTCACTTTTCCTACTATGGATTTCCTCTGCAAAATGAGGCTGTCTTAGCTTAAGTGATCTATGTTTCCTTCAAGCTCTAAGACTTATGATTTAGATCAATTCTGAAATTAAAGAATTGCTAATTGATCCCTCCCTTCCCATTCTACTCTCTGCTACAAAGTTTTGGTTGAAGGTGCAGATGCATTTTAACAACAAACAAAAAAGGATTCAATCAGTACCTGTCTGATTCAAACCTATCATCTCTAATTAAAGTTCAAGTGCTTGGTGTTATAAGACTGCAGCAGGTCCTGGTGATAATGCAAAGGAACCTGTTTGGGAAACCACTTCAAGGCACACAATTGCCAACAGGGAATTCTAAGCCTTGGTTTCCAGGCTGACTGTGTTGAGCCAATGAATATCCTGGCTCTTGGATACCATATTTAGAACAAACTTGAGACTCAAACTGCGTCTTTCAAAAGTTCAAATGTGCTTTCCTATAAAACAAAACAAAACAATTATGTCTTTTGAACTGCAAAATGTGTATAATGTCTAGTATTAGGCTCTATTTCCCAGGGGTAGTTTGAGGCTTTCGTTGTCACTACCTTCTTGCCAATCAAACTGAGTGCATTTCTCGGTAATTCCTTGGGTCAGGAAAAGATAGATAATGCTTCAGCCAAACCTCCACAAGCATCTTTTCCACCTTCCCTTGTCTTGGGGTTTAAATGTAATTTGAAGGGCTTTTTTTTTTTAAATTTCCCACTGCGTTTACTTAGGCAGCTTGGTGGGAAGAAAACAGAAATGAAGAAGCTGGTTAGGAAATCTGGGTTCTAGACAAGCTCTGCCACTAGACTTAGTTGGATCATCTTTGGTAAGTTACTGAACCTTTCTGGGCCTCAGTTTCTTCATCTGCAAAATGGAGATAATGATACCTAGTCAACCAATCTTGCCAGGTTGTTGTGAGGATCAAATAAGAGGGATGGAGAGAAGATGGAAGAAGGGATTTATTAAGTACTTACTGTGTGCCAGGCCTTGTTCTAAGGGCTTTACAAATATCTCATTTGATCCTCACAACAACCCAGGGAGTTAGGTGCTATCATTAACCCCATTTTACAACTGAGGAAACTGAAGTAGACAAAGGTTAAGTGACTTGCCCAGGGTCACACAGTTAGTAAGTGTCCAAGATCAAATCTGAACTAGGGTCTTCCTGACTCCAGACTTAGTGCCTCCTAACCCTGTTAGATAGGAAAGTGCTTTGAAAAGGATAGAACATACACTGACAGGAAGCACAAGAGAGCTTAATTTGTTCATTCCTTGACTCCTGCAGATACTGAGTTTACTCAAGTAGGGGCTTAAGGTCCTTAATTTCCCAACCAATGATTTCAATCCTTTGATGCATTGTGACATGTCTGATTACTTTGGTCCCAATCTTTTTTTTTTGGGGGGGAGAAGTAATGGCTGAGTAGTTACATAATGTGGAGGGAGGTGGAGGGAGGGTGATAAAGTTGTGCTTTCAGATGGCTTGATTGGTAGATGGCTAGATAGAGACTGAACCCCCCCACCTTTCTGTCTCTCAGCAACTTATCATTATGTTATATTATATTATAGAACAAACAAAAGGCATGTTTGTTCAATAAGCCTATGTAGAATACCTTGTCAGGTACCCAGCCCTGGGCTATAGAATTTTCCTTGTACAGAAGAGAAGGGCAATTTGTGGAACTCACAGTCTAGCTGAGGAAACAAGATACATACTTGATAAGTGAAATGATCAGGCCCCCGATAAGATGTCACCAGGCTTTAGGTAATGTGGCAGATGAGTGCTCCTGGTTCAGGATACTGCCTTGAGTTCAGGTGAGACTAGGATGCTTAGGGAGAAAAAAAAATGGAGATGAGACTTAAATTGGATATTAGTGGATGGATTTAGCCAGGAAGTGATCAAGAAGAACGAGGAAAGGTTTTCTAAGCACAGTAGGTAAAGGCACAGATGTGGCAATGGATCTAGAATGAGAAGAGTTGAGATTCTGCCTCTGCTGCTTGGCACTTGTGTGACTCGGGCACATCACTTTCCCTATCAAGGCAGGAGTTTCCTCATTTTTAAAATGAGAGATTTGAAGTGGCTGATGTCTAAAGTTCTTTCTCGCTCTCAGTCTTTTGACCTTTGAGGTATATATTAGGTGTGTTCTGGGGACAAAGAAGACATCAGGTTGGGGGAACAGAAGGTTTGTCTTGAGGAGTAGTGGGAGATAAAGACAGAGAGGTCTGTTGGGGCCAGGCTGTGGAAGGCTTTGATTTTTCTGTTTTTGTTTTGGATAGGCAGTGGGGTTAAGTGACTTGCCCAGGGCCACACAGCCAGCAAGTGTTATGTGTCTGAGGCCAGATTTGAACTCTGGTCCTCCTGAATCCAGGGCCAGTGCTCTATCCACTGTGCCACCTAACTGCCCCATGTGGAAGGCTTTGGATGCCAACTTAAGGGGTTTGTGCTTTTTGTTATGACCTTTGAGGAAGTACTAAAGGATTTGAGCCCAGGAGTGATATGATAAAAATGATGTTTTAGAAAGATTAATTTGGCAGAAGTTGAGAAGCAATGCCTAATAAGGCCAAGGACACTGGTTTTACTTCTGCCTAGACTGGCTAGATTATCTCTATTTACCCTACCCCTAATTAACGCTCCCTGAAATAAGTGACACTGGACACAAAAGGGATGGGGGAAGAGTATATGGCTTTCTTAATGTACCCCATCCCCATTGCTAGAAGCACAACTCAGGGTCCACATCCCACGGATGGTAGAATGGAGTACCATCTTCATATTTGAAATGCAGCAGGTTATTATGAACTATCCCAAAAAATTTATTGGTGAAATTGAAAACAATTGACCCCGATATCAATGGGCATAGCACCATCCAGCCTGAAATGGCCTGACTACTAAGAGACTGCTGCCAGGAGAGCTTCTTAAATGTCTTGGTGAGGGCAGGATCCTCAGGATGAGCCTGGTTAGTGGTTGTCTTTTCCAATGTACTCCTGCACCAATGATCAGGGAAGTGTGCCAGGGCCATTCCCAACCTGGCCTTGGAATCATTGTCTATCGAATTCATGTCATTGGGCCCAGAGTCAAAGGCAGCAGCCAACCAGGTAGTCACTAGCAACAAGATGTGTCTGTGAGGGCCTCCCCAAAGGCTCATAGCCAGTACTCTTTCCTAGCTCCCCCGACTCAGTGACGGCTGATGCAGACCAATAGGAAGAGAAACCATGTCGCTGTCTCTCCTGAGGAGCTACAGTGGGCTGTGCTTTTAGTACTGGGTTTGAGTCTTGTGTTTGTCACTTACTACTTGTGTGTCCTGGGCGATTCTCTTCTCTCTGGGCTTTCCTCACATGTAAAATGAGGAGCTGGGCTAGAAGTTTTGTAAGGGCTCTTCCACCTCTGAAATCCTGTTTTCTAAGATGAGAAATTGTACTTATAATTGTTATTTCACAATCTACTCCTGCCACAGGCTGCCTATGAATTCAAGTCAAGTTATGTCAGCAAACATTTATTAAGCACTTACTATGTGTCAGGTGTGCTGCTAAGTGC